AATACATTTTAAAAGTAACCTTCCCAACACTGTGTATGGAGGTTGTCAGGATGAAGGTACAGTGAGAATATGCCATCTGCACCCCCTGGCTGGGAGACTCTGTGATGGTTTGGGATTTCATTTTAGCCAGCGGTGTTGGTGATCTTATCAAAACTTAAAAGCTGAAATAATAACAATTATACCAAACACACTGCCGATGCAGTAAAAGCACACATAAATAGAAAAACATGCAGCTTAACAATATAAATCATGAACTGCACCTCAACATTACTGAAGCAGGGTGGGATCATCTTGACAGAGAACAGAACAGACGGCATAAACATCCAAAGAAGAGCTTTGAATGTCCTTCAAGAAGTCTGGAGAACTATTTCTGAGGAATACTTAAAGAAATGAGAAGAAAGCTGCCAATGAGAAGTCAGGCTGTGCTGAAGAATAAAGGTGGTCATACCAAATATTGACTTTCAAGCTCATGAGTATCATAAAATCTCTGTTTTTGGCCTATATACTGTATTTCCATTATGTTTACACTTTTCAATAAAACACTGCACCAATTTTGCTTGCGTAATATAAAGGAATGAGAAGAAGAAGGATGTGGTTCAAGTCTTTTGCACAGTAATGTAAAATAGATTTGATAACCTCCACTAACTCATAGCATCTTATTTGTTTAATTTGGGGAAAAACACATGTAAATAAATAAGATAGACGCTACATGCTGGGGTGTTTTTGACATGGGAACAGTGAATTCCTGTAGAGATTTTAGTTCATCGCTGCTTTTAAGTCAAGAAAAAGAAAAGATTTTGTTTGATTTTGCGTAATATAGAAATTCATCAGCAATAAGAATTACTGATGGTTGGATTTTAGTTCATATTCATCAGAAATGTGGTATAAGTGTAGCACTTAGACAAGGGAAGTGAATAAGGGATATTTCCCACAATGTCAGCCCATCATTTACATTTCTTATCTTAGTTGTCAGTAAGAAATGTTATAATGTCAGTAACACAGATACATTTTCCTCAGTATCATGCTAAAACCGATTTGAAAACCTTCAACTTTTTATGTTCATGGGCAGGAGAATACATGTTGTGCTCTGTACTTTTTTGTACAGTAAAAAGAGATGCATGATTAATAATGAAAAGTCACCTTTTAGATTATTTTGTACCATTTTTAAGTAGATATACACAGTCACTGCTTACTAGCACTGCGTGTAATGGGCATGGATCACAAATTATTTATTCTATCAACCACTTAAGTTTTTATTTTATGAAAATATATTTAACACCACAGATATTATTTCTATTCATAGCATTAAACAATTCAAACCCTTGGTAAGAGAACACCATAATGTCCTTCCTGTGACTTTGCTGTGAAAACTGTAACTGCACACCAAGGACCATCAGCATCCATCAGCATCAGAGTGTGCTGTGATTATACTTTACATATTTCAATTCAATTATTTTTTATCTATTTATGTTCAATTTATGTATACCTGATACAGTTTTGGTCAAAAGTTAACATGCACTCATCATGGACATGCATGATCTGGTATTTTGGGGCCTTTAACAATTTCTTTGAACTGTTCTTTTATCAGAGTGAAATGACAGCGCACGTCTATAATGACCTTAAAACAGGGGTGAGCTGCTGCAAATTTTGGCACACGATCTACTTCCTTGGTCGATGCCCGCTTAGTAGATGATGGGAATCCCACTTCACTGTGGAAAGTGATGCTGGAGTTCCAGTAGTTTTCCATTCATGGCAGGCTTGAGCCTCTGTGGTTCCTGGACCTCTTAACCAATTGCCTCTTATCTGAGGGTGCCAGTTTGGGACTTCTAACAGACCTCAGCAAAGTGGTGACACATCTGAAAAAACTACAAGAGACCTTCCCAACTTGTGTAAATCTACAATTCTCCTGAGATCTT